GGGGCCGGGCGGGCGGGGACTGGGGACCGGGACCGGGGACCAGAGCTGAGCCTCGCCGAGCTGAGCCTCGCCTCGCTGTTCCGCAGGTTGCACCAGTTGCCGGGATCACTGCGCACACCAGCAAAATGTCGTCAGAAATGGCAGCCGAGGTGAGGGTGAACTTTGCTTCTGCGGAGGGGTCGTCCCGGGGGTGCCCTGGCAGGGGCGAGCTCCACTGAGTTAAAATCCAAGCCCCTGCCGTTTCCTTCGGGTTCTTCCCTCTACCTGGCAGAGGCCAATAACCGAGGCGGTTCATTCCTGCCGACGTGCGTTCAGGCAGGAGGTACTTCACAGCAGCTTGTGTAAGGGCTTCCCTGGACAAAAGCTGCATTTTCAGTTTCCATGCCTGGTAGGTGAGACGTGACCTCACCTCGACCATGACCGTCTTAGTGAGTCACGCTTTCTGCCTTCCAAATGGCTCCTGCCACCCTGGCCTCCTTGGCTCTGGGTTGCAGACAAGTGTCCATCAGCTCTCAGACCGTACTCGCTACTTCTCTAACCAGAGTCCTGTAGCTAAATCTTTCAGTTTTGATTTCCTGATTGCAAATGTATCTGTTGCAATGTTTCTGCTGACCCATTTCTTACTTTGGTGGAAACCTGTAATACTGAAGATAGCCCTAGATGCCTAGCTATGCCTCTTCCCCACTCAAACACTTAGCCTCTGGTACTGGCCTTTAATTTAGCATCTCCTGTACCATGCTGCTGTGGGCACCTGATGAATGCTGTCCATGGTAGTTATAGTGTACGGCATGAGAAGAGACTGACAGGGATGTTTAAAAAATCAAGTAGATTAGTAATTATTATCCACTCTGCAATGGCAATTGTATTTAGGCCCTTCCTTTAAATGTCCTCCCATTTATTTTTGGTGCCTGCTAGCGCTGGGGAGTTGCTTTTGAAATCTTGGATAAGCTGTAAGGTCTCTGCACAAGTAAAATTCCTACTTATTTCAGTGCAAGTTTGCCAGTTAGGGCTTCAGGGGGTGTCCTACCTGGGTAAGTAAAAAGCTTCTGATCAAGTGACATACGTGGCTCTCAGCTAGAGAATCCACTCAGTAGCTGAATCACTGGTGAAAAAAAGCTTACACACAGCCTGCTGTGATGCATAGCTGGAATTGTGTACCTGTCTTTGGTTAGCCAGTGAAGTAGTTAGGTAGATGACACATTCAAGTGAGTGAAGTTACTATATGAATCTTGGTTTGGGTGGAAAACCCACCTTTGTTCCTATGTGTTTTAAAGCTGCCTTTTTGTTGATTTATTTTTCTGAACATTCCTGATGCTGAAACGTACCCAGATGTCCCTTTCTGGAGTCTGCACCTTAGCCAGTTTTATGCTAATCTTATGCCAGAGCTTGCAAGCACATTGTGGACTCTGGAGATGCTTCGAACACTTCATAATGTGGCTTGTGCTGGCCTAGAGCTCTTTGTCAATCAAAGAAAAACCTCTCTATTAGCTCAACACCACAAAAAGGACTTAGCCAATACTAGCTCTCACTATATTCTTGACTGACTGCTTTACTTTTTTCCCCCCTTTAAAAGCCTATCAAAGGGTTGCTGACCTGCAACTGCCTCAAAAGAGATATCCATGCTGATCTTGCAGCATATGCCCTGAGATTCATTTCAAGGACTGCCTGCAGAGGTAAAGTATCTTGGAGGATTCCTGAGCCAGACCTGACTCCTCAAGGGCTAAATGCTGGTGACAGTGACATGTTCTCCACCCCTACAACTACTTGCCAAAGCTCCTGAAATTCAGGGGCCTTTCTGATCAGTGCTACAAGATTGAAAGGGCATAGCTGAATAATGCCTTTATATTGGATAAACAGATCAGTGGATGTTACATGCATAGGACCATAACTGAAGTTATTAGGCCTCTTTAATTTGCTTCTCTTTCAGGGGGATAAACTTTGGGGAGGAAGATTCAGTGGAAGCACAGATCCAGTCATGGAGATACTCAACGCTTCCATTACCTATGACCAGAGGCTGGCTGAAGTTGATATCCAGGGGAGCATGGCTTATGCCAAAGCCTTGGAGAAGGCTGGGATCCTATCTAAAGCTGAGCTGGAGAAGATCCTGAGTGGCTTGGAAAAGGTATCTATTTCCTTCACAAACTGTCAGTCTTCCGACTGAACATTCACGAGGAATTGTTTCAGTATGAATTAGCAATGTTCTTTTTCTGCTGGCACTTGGGATCATTTTGAGTCTGGCTGCCTGAGTTAGTAAGAGGCAATGCATAGCATTGTATAGGGGTGAAGAGAAGTCCACAGCTAAGCGCTTTTTTGAAGTATCCATTGTTGTTGCTCACCCACCATGGACAATGGTGAGTCTATACAATGTTTGTATAGGAAGATCTCTGTGGACAATGCTAAAGCAATCACTGGCATTTCAGCTCACTTTTTCATTGCATTGCTTAAAGCCTCCTATAGCCATTACAATGCAGGATCATCACGGGTAGAGAGATGAATCCCACCAAGTGCCGTATGGAATATGAGGATATAGTGAGCAGCTGGCCTTGGCCTGAAAGACCAGGAATTCCAGAGCTCACGTGAGACTTAACACTTTGATTTCCACTGGGATGGCAGAAGTTGGTATTCGCTGGGGACACTTACAGCCCCCACGCACAGCAGGGTAACAGTAGTGGCTGACTGGTGTTTCTCCTGATGTTTGTAGATCTCTGAGGAATGGTCTAAAGGAGTCTTCGTGGTGACCCAAACTGATGAGGATATCCACACTGCCAACGAACGCAGACTAAAGGTTTGGATCCTCTAACCTCTTGTTCCCGTTCCTGTGTAGCTAGATCTGCCTGACGTTAAGTGACGTTAAGTGCCTCTGTCCCACTGTGAAATTCCTCTGGACCTTGTGGCACTGAACCCCCAGGTGCACAATCAAGCATCTCCAAGCCCCCTTTTGTGGAAGAGGCACTGTACAAGCATAGAACCCAAACTTGCCCTTCCCCAGAGAAGATCCCACAGCTACTCCAGGAATGATCAGGCATGTACAGAACTGGTTGTTTTTCCTCCTCTGTATTTTTCCCCCACCTCATTTCCGTAATCAAATTTCTTTAAGCTATCTTTCACATACTCTGGCGCTCTCCAGCATGTACTCCCTAGGGCTTTAAACTGGTTGCTGCTGCAGTGACTCATCCGCACAGGGAATCCGCTCTGCAGGATTGCTTCCTGGCGGTATAAGGCCAGAAACTGCCACTGACCTCCATTTGAAAGCCTATGGAAACCATGATTTTACTGTCTGGGTGCCAAGTGTCTCTCTGGATCAGTCTTTCTATAGATGATCAACTTGTGTCTGTTGGGGATCTTCTAATCCAAAGTTGACAATATCCAAAAAGTCCACTGAAAAGAGTGGGCTTTGATTCTTTTCATGGAAAGCAAGATACAGCACCTTTCACAAATGAGTGACCAGGGACACATCTGGTAAGAGGAAGATGTCCCTTCCCATCACGCAGAACAAGGAGGGGATAACTGCCAAGGCTTTCTGCTGAACACTATTTGGTCACTAAGTATGTCACATTCTGCTCTGCCTGACTGTGGCTGGTCTCCTCCAGGTTGTGACTGACTTGAAGCTCTTCATGAAGAATTCCCTTTCTCTCATCTCCACTCGCCTCCTGCAGCTCATTAAGACCCTGGTGGAACGCGCTGCCATGTAAGTCCTTTTCCATATCCATGGCCTTGGCCTTGCAGGGGCAGGAGACTTCTAGGCTTGCTCTTCAATGGACACTAATCAGGGCAGCAGCGGGGGCTTCTGTGGAGGAAGTTACAGCCAGGCAGTGTGGGATAGCACAGGGAAAGGCAACAGCCCCTCTTTTTGCACAGTTCATGTCACAGGGACCTTCCTCTTCCTCCAGTGTATGCTGGCAAAGGAATTGAGGTGGGAGGTCCACACAAGGCTTTAGAAGGCACCAAATCCATCCAAAGGACTCAGGAATTTTAACATGTTTCAAGTTGCTACATATGAGAAAAGCTCAGCTCTGTTAACTCCTGTCTAACTCTCCAGTGGTGGACTGGGGAATCTTTGCCTGACACAGAGGGGTCACTGTACCGGGCAATCTTCCAAGGAGGCCTAGGGCAGACACAGCTCACCAGAAGATGAGGAGATCTAAACCCCGTGAGCTTAGGGAGCCGGTGACAGGAGAGGGAGAGAGGGACCAGCTTCAGCACAGCACAGGCTAAAGATGTTCTCTTTGTGACCTTGCTAGAACCCCTGGGGTGTACCTGCCACTGCCCTCTGTCCTGAAAGCTGCCACTCACTTCTTTCTCTCCTTTCACATACAGAGAAATTGATGTTATCTTGCCTGGCTACACCCACCTGCAGAAAGCTCAGCCCATCAGATGGAGCCAGTTCTTGCTCAGGTAACCACCCTTCACCTTTGGCTGGAGGAAGCCTTCTCCACCCTTGGGTCCAGGCTCAGCTAGAGCCCAGAAGCGCGGCCCCCTCTGAGGGGGCAGCCTGGGGTTCTGACAAGCCAGAGCTCATCTTGCAAACTGGAAAACAACTCCCTGTGTTCCTGTGTGGTTCTGACTAACCTGGGACTCCAGCACTGAGTGGGCAGTGGAGGCTGACTCCCTGTATGCTCCATCCCTTGGCCAGAGTTACCTCTTGGACCTTGTGACAGTTTCTGACTTCAGGTGCTTCATCTCTTGTGATGTTTTTTTTCCTAGCCATGCTGTTGCTCTGACTCGTGATTCTGAGCGCCTAGGAGAGGTGAAGAGGAGGATTAACGTCTTGCCTTTGGGAAGGTAAATTTACTTTCTGTGTAATCCCTGGGCCTCACTTTGCTCTGCAGAATGGCTACAAGGCAGATCCCCTGAACCACAGGGGTTTGTATGCCATATGCACTGCAGAGCTGCAAGGGCACAAGCCTTGCTTCTTTCGCCAAAGACAAGACACTCACCACAGAGATGCTGGTCTTCTCCCTTACTGAAATCAAGAACTACAAGGCTTTCATTAAGCAAACCTTCCCCTGTGGAAGAGAACTTCTGGTTTGGTTCAGAATATGCTGAGCCCAGGCCACACTGTGTGACACCAGACTGAACTGGGAGAAGGAAGCCTTCAGAGAGGTGTCATCACTGCCTACTAGAGCTCAGTTTTGGTTGGGATATGCAGGGTATCTTGCATGACTTCTGTTTCTTTCTCCCCTGGCAGCGGTGCTCTGGCTGGCAACCCACTGGAAATTGATAGAGAGCTTCTGCGTAGTGGTAAATGTCTCCTTGTGACTGAGAGGCACAGGTCTACTCATAATATCGGGGAGTTGAGGAATACATTGTTCTATTCATCTATTTTGGATGTGTTGCAGCACCTTAATATAGGGATGGAGGGTAATAAATACAAAAAATGAATATGATGTGATGCTCAGTGACAGAGGTGGGAGGGAGCTCCTAACAAGTCGGTAAGCCAGAAGGCCTTTTTACTACTATGAGAGAGAAGATGTCTGTAGGGTGGGAGCATAAACAGAACCATCTCCACTGCACACTGGCTGCCCGGGGCGAGTAACAAAACCCCACTTGCCATGTTTGTGTTCCTGGGACCACTCAAGGGCTCACAGTCACCTGCATGCTGGGGCAACCTGCTGCATTCAAGGCCCAGTCGTCCCAAGCCTGACCACCTCTGTCTGTCACCTTCCTTACAGAGCTGGACTTTGCTTCCATCAGCCTGAACAGCATGGATGCCGTTAGCGAGAGAGACTTTGTGGGTAAGCACAACTTGATCGCTTCTTCCCAACACTATTTTAGAAGCAGGCTTCCAAGTCCTTTCCAGCTGACCTCCTTTAATAAGGGATTGAAATCCCTGACTGGGAAGTAATTATACAGAAAATCTGTTTGCTCGTGCTTAAATTCCAGTCAGGTCTCCCTGGGCTGTCAAGCAAACAAGCACCTTTTTCACCTGATTTTCCTGCTTTCTCTGCAGTGGAATTTCTCTCTGTGGCCACCCTGCTGATGATCCACCTTAGCAAGATGGCAGAAGATCTCATCATCTACAGTACCAGCGAGTTTGGCTTTCTAACCCTCTCTGATGCTTACAGGTAGGTCTCTGGTCTCTGGGCAAGAGCCCTTCCCTCAGTCTCTCCTCCTCAGCTCTCACCTGGAAGAATGAGAGTGGTTGGGGTCTTCCTGCTGCACAAGGCTGACACAGCATTAAAAGGCTGGCAGAAAGGCAACCTTAGGGTGAACATTCCTCAGTAATGACCACTTATTTCTGATTCTGGTAACTCAACCAAGCCTGCTGCACGACCTGTGTCTGTAGGGACTGGTGTGCTGCTCAGCGCTACACTCCACACACCTTTCTTTCAGCACTGGCAGCAGCCTGATGCCTCAGAAGAAGAACCCCGATAGTCTGGAACTGATCCGCAGCAAAGCTGGTCGCGTGTTCGGACGGGTGAGCCTGCTAACAAAAGAAGCGGGATGGGGAAACTGCTCACACCAGGGGCTGAAGAATCTTGTTTCTTCTTGCCTCTGTGTAAAGAAAGGTGCCCAGTGTAGGCTCTGAGCCTGGGCTGGGGCGATGTGCTTCTCTCCCTGGAGCTAACTGCCTCACCCGTTTCTCTCTGCAGTTGGCTGCTATTCTCATGGTTCTCAAAGGACTTCCAAGCACCTACAACAAGGATCTACAGGTAAACCAGATGTTAGTTTGCACACCATCTCTCTGAGCAGACACAGTGGTGGTCTTCTACTCCTGAGCAGTCTGGCCGCTACATTTCCCTGTACAGACCCTGCTTGTGTGCAGGGTGCTGAGGAAGGGGCTGAGGCACAGCGTGCTGCAGTTGACACCGCAGCCCCTGGGGTGACATGCCTGCTCTGCTGGCTGGGCTGCTCAGGCTGGTGGGCTTTTGGGCTGCATCAGGCGGACTTACAGCAATGTCCATGCCTGTTCTGACGCAGGAGGACAAGGAGGCTGTCTTTGACGTTGTGGACACCCTGAATGCTGTGCTCCAGGTTGCCACTGGAGTGATTTCTACCCTCCAGGTAAGGCTTCAGACTCTCCCTATTGAACATGGTTGGGGGGCACATTCGGTGAGTAACACATGTGAAAGCCCTCTAGACTGGTCCTAAGATGTTGCTCACCCATGCTGTCAGCTCCTCTGGGGGTCAGAGAGACCTTATAAAGCCACGTCCCTTCCAGAAGTTGTCCCCTCACTGTGACTGCTAACATGTCCCAAGGAGGATTGATGATAAAGTCTCCCTCTGACCATCCTTCTGCAGATCAACAAGGAGAACATGGAGAAGGCTTTGAGCCCTGAGATGCTGTCTACTGATCTGGCACTCTACTTGGTTCGTAAAGGAGTAAGTATCAGAAGGAGACTTGGAGTCCTGATTTCTTTGGATGCAGAATACTGCTCAGCGAGGGCCTGAGATGAGGCCTTCTGTTCTGTCCCCAGGTGATGATCAGTCTGGGTCAACAAACCTGGATTCACATGGCATTGCCCTAAGTGAAAACAAGCCAACCAAAAAAGACAGCACTTCCATTTTTTCCTTTGAGGCTGCACCCCAGTTGCTTGGTCACTGACTGTGGCCTCTGCTTCTCACTGCAGATGCCATTCAGACAAGCCCACGCTGCCTCTGGGAAGGCTGTCCACCTTGCCGAGTCTAAAGGCACCACCATCAATAATCTCAGCCTGGATGACCTGAAGAGCATCAGGTTCGTATCACTATTACCTTGCTATGACTTCCCTCAAGGGGCAGCTAGCAGCCTTCCTTCGTATGGGCCTCCTTATGGTGCCCTGCCCCAAAATGCCTGGGCCAGACAGCCCCCCAAAATCCTCCTGGCCTGAGTGTCAGTGCTGCTGCTGCTGGGCCTGAAATAACTGAAGTGGGGGGACAACATCGCTACCCTGCAGCCCCAGCGGGACACAGGCAGCGGCTGTTGGGAGGGACTGGAAGAAACTCATGCCCTGACCTGGAGGCACCAGCCCTCCAGAAGAGTTTGCCTCCAAGCTTCCTCGCTCTCCCCTTGGAGCTGACTCTTTGGTCTGCCACAAGCAGCTATTGCTAGGGCCTGGAAGTGCAGAAGCAGGGCTGCGGGAGGTCTTTGCCCTTAGAAAAAGGCTCCGTCTCCACTCCCCCCGCCTCTGCAGGCATCGAGCATGCCAGGCCAGCAAACGGCACCCACGTTCTCCACTGACACCTCTTCTCTTTGCCTCCCCAGCCCCCTGTTTGGCAGCGATGTCTCCCAGGTCTTCAGCGTTGTCAACAGCGTGGAGCAGTACACGGCCATGGGCGGTACTGCCAAGAGCAGCGTGACTGCCCAGATCGAGCAGCTGAGGGAGCTGCTGAAGAGGCATAAGGAACAAGCTTAGAGTGTGGGGAGATATCCCGTGGATGCCACGTTGTGCCTGTCACACTAATCTGGAGTTAATAAACACTGGGGTGCATTGTAGTTCACTGAAACTCCTGTCTTGCGTCTTTCTTCTAAGGGGCAAGATTGAGCTGGGCTTCCTTGGCCCTCATGAGGCTTGGGGAAACGTTCACTAGTGTGGGAACCTGGCAGCAGAGCTGGGTTGTGGGGTTTCAAGTTCTAGGGGGCTGGTAGGTAGAGAGCAGCAGAAGAATCTATGCATGTGTTGAGGGAGGCTTGTGTGTGTGTCCACAGAGATCTTGGTACAGTATCTGCAACACTTGCCACATCTCCAGCTATCACTGTCCTCGTCCTAGGATTATGTCTCCCTGCCTGTCTTCTGGCACGAAATAAAAACATCTCCTGACCACGTGGCACTAGAACTTGCATAGCCTTGGGCAGGAGTTGGCCAGCAGGTCAACCCACAAGTCTTTCTAGTCCATCCCCAAACCACCTTTGGCTCTGGTTTACACAGAAGCACAGGGTTGTACGCTCCCAGGTCCAGCTCTTTCTTCTGCGTGACGCATGCCCTCATTTGCCTCCAACCTAGCTGGGGCAGAGTTCTTTAAAAAAAAAAAAAGCTCCTGGCATTGCATTGCCTCTTACAGGAATCATTTACCATTTTCCCCTCTGGCCTTACAGAAGTAAAATCAGAACTAAGACCAGAAAAAAATCTTACTTGAGGAATGAAATACCAGGAAGTTCCCAAGTCCCTGCTGCTTACTGCCATGTTTCTCTGGTTTAGTACATTTGTCTCACCTTCCAGCTAAATTATTTCTGGCAGGGAAATCAGTTATGTACACTTAATTCAGGTGGAGAGGTGATGCCAACAGAATCAGAAGGAGGGATTATCTCCTCCCCCCCAGCTCATGGTTCTTTTCCTTCCTCACATAAGCTTTCTCCCCATTTGTCTTTTCTCGTTCCTGATCGGTACCTTCATAGGCCTCAGCCAACCAGACTTTCGCTTGTTCACAGCAGCCACCATTCAGTGCCAAGTAATGTGGGGCCCTGCTGACTGAAAAAAGAGGTGATTTTAGCAGATTATCACATCTCAATCTCTCGCTTAAATAAAGTTCATAATCACTGGTAACTCCCCATTTGACCCTCCACCTTTCTCATATTCTCACACGTCACCAAACCTTTCACTGATCTGCAATAAACTGAGCTGTTGCTTCTGTAATGAATTGGATACAGCATGACTGGCAGCTGCATATTGCACATGGAAGTACATGTTCTCACCCAGCAAACAAGCGCAGGCTACAAATAAACGTACTGTAAAATTAAAATCAATCCAATGGCACTTCCTTCCCCCCTTGCACCTGTGATGCTTTTCTCCATCCTGCTTTATTCCTAACGAAGTTCTGAGGGATGGGGTTTGAATAGGAAATGTTACCGTGCTTCATGGATGAGTCCAGACATGGATTTCTAGTGCAGAGATCATCCTCCTGCCGGGTCCCCAAGACGCCATCTGGTCCCCAGTGCCACTCTTTGCCTTTTGCAATAACTTCTTGCCCTCTCACTTCAACAAGTGGCTCTGAAAAGAAAGAGCAGTAGGTAAGCAAGTAAATAAATAAAGAAAACAGGTTTCCCAGGGAGGTAGCGGAGACTCCATCCCTGGAAACATTCAAGGCCAGGTTGGATGGGGCTCTGAGCAACCCGATCTAGTTGAAGGTGTCCCTGCTCCCTGCAGGGGGGTTGGACTGGGTGGCGTCTAAAGGTCCCTTCCAACCCAGAACATTCCACGATTCTATGAAAACCACCCCACTCCCCCGGAAATCCAGCAACCCTGGACACAGCCCAACTCCTGCGGGTGTTTTTACGCCAGGCTCCCGGTGGCTTTGGCTCGGGGAGCCCGGAGCCCCGCACCCAGGTCCC